ATCACAAAGTTGTAGCTTCAGTCTAGAAAAGGTATCTGCTGCTGCTCCTGTGTATTCTCATAATTTAACTCATAAGCACTAGAGGGCAACCAGCAGCTCAGCTCAAATATCTATATACTTCAGACCTCTGGTGGCAGAGGTTCAGTAAAAAAAGTCTTCCTTTTGAATTTCAGAGAGACAAATATAGCATTTTTTTCTCATATACAGCTCCTAGATGTTAATGTTTACAAATATGTAGAAATGTGGAGGAATTCCACTGAAATAGAAATAGAAGAAGGCATGAGAGAGAATAAAAGGGATCTAGCAGAAGTCTGAAGAAAGAAAAATAGAAGAAAATTATACATCAAGAGAGTACAGGTGACATGAAACCAGACGGGGGATCAAAGGGAAAGCCAAAGAGCCAGTAGAAGGGACTAGGAAAGAATGTAGCAGTAGTGCTGGGGGTCATCTAGGGTTTTACAGAGCACATTCCCAGGAACAGACAAAGGACTGGATGTTAGGGAAAGACAGAAGATGAGCCTCAGGAGAAAGCAAAGCTTTTAGGGATGGGAGATACCCTAAGGCTGGGAGTTCACTAAACTGATTATGACCTGAGTCTTTCATAGCTCTCTGGGTCCTCCTCTTTCTTCTGTTGGTCCAGTTTAGATAACAAAACCCTTACCTTCCAACTACTTCTATTCACACGCCTTCTAGGAATGAGAAGCTTCCACCCCAGGAGCTGCTTATGCTTTCCCATCCACAAATAGCCCTCTCTCTAACTCTTTCAGAAGTTCATTATATTCAGTCCTAATTTTTGAGACTAATAAAGGATTTAAAATATAAATACAATTTTGAAAATTAATGCTTTCCTTTTTCACACTAGGCGTATGCTAGAGCCTGATTTTCGGGAGGAACATGGAAAGATTTAAACAGTCTTCATAGGGAGTTGCATTTGTGTCAAGTCTTACAGGAAAGTGCAGAACATCACCATGTTGGGCCTTGACGGGACAGCACTATGGTTAGGCAAAGCAAAGGCTCAGTGTAGACCCAGTAATACCACTTTTGGGTATATACCCAATGGATGCTCAATCATACCACAAGGACATGTGCTCAACTATGTTTATAGCAGCTTTGTTTGTCATAGCCAGAAAATGGAAACAACCTAAATGCTCCTTGACTGAAGAACGGATAAGGAAAATGTGGTAGTTTTACACAATGGAGCAGAAAAAACAAAACAAACAAACAAACAAACAAAAAATGACATCTTGAAATCTGCAGGCAAATGGTTGGAGCTAGAAAACATCATGTTGAGTGAGGTAACCCAGACCCAGAAAGACAGTTATCATATGTACTCACTCATAAATGGTTTTTAGACATAAAGCAAAGAAAACCTCCCCACAAATCATAATCCCAGAGAACCTAGATAACAAAGAGGCCCCTAAGCGAGATCTAACCCACAAGGGAAGGAAAAAAAGATAAAATCTCCTGAGTAAATTGGGAGCATGGGGATCATGAGAGAGGTTTGAAGGATGGGAGAGCACATGAGGGGATCAGAGAAAAATGTGTAGCTCAATAAATTCAATAAAAAATATTTCATTGTTTACATTTAGTGAGTTCTCTGAGTATCTTATCTTGCCTTCCTGGAATTCTCTGGCCACACTAAGAGCTGTGGCTTTGTAGAATTCCTAAACTGAAAATTCTTCACTAGGTTTTAGTTTGGGGAGAATTTGTTGAAGTCATGATGAACCATTGAAGTCTCAGGTCATTACTGATGAGGACTCCATGTGACATTTGATGTCATTTAGTGTTTATTTTGTTGGAGCTCCACAGCTCCATGAACCCACATGCACAGTGTTTACCCTCTATGGCTATGTAGTGGCTGTCTTCATCTCTGACTAGCTTTGACCTGAAGTCCACTTTCTCAGGCATGAGGCTTGCTGAGCCACACTTACAGCCTTCACTTACTTGACCTGCTGATCTCCATCCTCTGATTGTCAGTTTTTGATGTTCTTGTTTATGAGAGGTGTTTGATGGTGGCACAGATAGTTGGTATCGTTTATTGACACAGCCTGTTAGCCTGTGGCTTTTACATGATGAGCTGAAGGCATTTACATTTTTATTGTATACAATTTATTCAATATGTTAATGTCATTCAAAGACAGTGCCTGAACATTATGCTGTAAAATGTGCCAGCCATGTTTGCCCCAAGGCCCCTGTAGTCATGTTGCCTCGTGGTGCCCCATAACCGCCAGTGGTTTCTGGGATTAATGCCAAAGCAGCACTGGTGTCTGCTCTAATGTACAATTACTGGAAAAATGACAGAAGATGTACACTTCTTAATTCTACCTTCCCCCAACACAAAAAGACAGACTAAATTGATACCTATATACAATCACTCTTCAGTAATGCTTGTTATGCATGTGGAGTTTTAATCAGCAAATGTCTCCACTTTCTATATTACATTAATTCATTTGTATAAACTCCTGGTCCTGATATAGTCCTCCATCTTCTGAAATTTAGAGTGTATTAACCCAGTAAATATACATTAACTTGCTAAGAATCCATGTACTTTTAATTTTATTATTTGAGATATTTGCTGTTTGTCATGATTTTTTTTTTTGGTTGTTATTTTGGTTGTGAGGCTTATTGGTGTTTTTCCTTCCTCTTGTGTTCATATTAGGAGTTTGTAGGTTGGTTGTCATGGTTATGAGCTATTCCTTCCTGGCTCTCCTCCTTTATTCATACCTCTCATGAAATATATTATTTTGTGTCCTTGTGGATGAAACTGCCTCTCTACTTCCATTTATAGTGTTCTATGTATTTTCTGCATTGTTGCATGGGTTGTTATGACCTGTTTTAATTTGTGTTTTTGTTGAAATGTTTTTATTTCTCTATTGAATAAAAGATCACTTGCCAAGTGTAGCAATCTTGTTGATAGTTACTTGCTTTCAGACCTTAAAGCATATCATGGCATAATTTCTTGGCTTTTAGTGTAATTTAGTCTTTTCTGATGTGAATGTGGATTGATGTTTTCCCTCATAATTCTTTTGAAGTTTTTGTTTGTTTATTTTGTTTTTTGAGACAGCGATTCTCTGTGAAGACCTGGATGTACTGGAACTCACTCAGTAGACTAGATGGGCCAACATTGAGGGATCCCCCTGTCTCTGCTTCCAGAGTATGGGAATTATAGGCAAGCACTGCCACAGTTTTACAAGTTTTTTTTTTTTATTTTGTGGTTGTTGTTGCTGTTACTGTTTTTACATTGTTTTGTTTTGGTTGGTCTGTTTCAGTTTGGATTTTCAAGTTAGGGTTTCTCTACGTTGTCCTGGTTGTCCTGGAACTCAATCTAAAATCCAGGCTAGCCTCAAACTCAGAGATCCACGTGCTTCTGCCTCTTCAGTGCTGTTATTAAAAACATTCCCAGCCTAGATTTCTTTCTACTTCCTATCATTTCCTTACTTACCAAGGAGCATTTCTTCTCTGGTCATGTCTGTTTAGGATAAATGCTCTTTAGTTTGGATTTCTATTTCTTTCACTTAGTTTGAAGGATTTTCTGTTATTTTTTGATGAATAAACTGTCTATGTTTTAAAAACTTTGATCGGCTCCTTCTTCTGCCCCGTGGGTTCTTGGGTTTGGTCTCTTGAATGTTGCTATAATTTTACTGGCCTGCCCTGTCACTTGTCAGGATAAATCCAGGCTGTACCCTGTACCTTTAAGAGACAAGCTCGCCCACTCCAGTCTCTCTCTCTCTCTCTCTCTCTCTCTCTCTCTCTCTCTCTCTCTCTCTCTCTCTCTCCCCCCCCCCCCTGCGCCCTCCCCCCCTCGCCCCCCCTCTCTCACTCTCTGCTTGCCAGTCTTCTGAGGAGGCAGCTCTCTGTTTCTCTCCCCGTCCTCCCTCTCTTCTTTCCTCCGTCTCTCTTTCTCTCTTTCTCTTCCTTCCTCTACACCAACTTTAATGAAACTTCACACTCAGTCTTTGTCAGCATGGTGTATGAGGTATTCTGTTTTCTGCATAGTACCACACATGCCATGGGACCTGCCAAGGTCACTCATGTCAAATCTTTCAGATGTGTCCCAAAGTTCTTGGAAGGTTGGGATATTCTTGTTATTTTTCTATATAGTTTATGATTGTATTGCTATTTCAACCTTGCCTTTTATCTATGAAACTTATCCTTCTGTCTGGACTTGTCTGTTAATGGTGATTTCTGATGTTTTCTTTTTGATTGATTGATTCCTCCTTTTCTGACAGTTATGATTGGTTCATTTTTCAGACTACCAAATTTCTTGGTTTTTAATTTTTCTCAGTTTTTAATTTTTTTTTTAAGTTCTTATTTTGTTGACTTGATCCCTTCCTTAACCAATCCTTGTTCTTATGTTTATTCGACTCCCATAGATGGTCACTCATTGTCTTTCAAAAGAGAACATTAAGTCTCTATCTTATATTTTAGCAGTCCAGCTCTATGTCCACCACTGAGGACTTGTGAGATTAGGAGGATGTCACAGTGTGTGCTTGTCCCATATATTTCTTCTTTATTCTCTGTGCCTTGTGCAGCTCATCGATGTGTCTTCTAACCTTCTTCCTTGTTTTATCCTTCTGTCTGTCTCGTGTGATTTCTCCTTACTTAGATTTATGTTACCTACTGTTATTTAACTACCCAACACAATGACTTAGCAGAATTTCTGGTGCTTACTTAGAGTAGAAAACACTAGTATGGCAGCCACGCCTAGTGCGTCCCGGCAGACGTAGGCTGAAGGTGTTTCATCTCTCGAGGGGGTTCCTGACGAGCCTGCGGCAATGGAGAGACCCTGCCTTAAGGTGATAGTAGTTTGCTAGTCATTGCCCTTCATCAGTAAAGTAAGCATCTTTGTCCCAAGTGCTCGGCCAGCCCCTAAATACAGTGGCCGCCATTGTCTCTGCTCCCCGCACCTGACTGCCGCTTGCATTTGCCTGCCTCCATTTCTTGTGACGAGACACCTCTGGAGACACGCAAAACAGCCTCCGAGGCTGAACAGGAGGGTCCACCAGATCGACTGCAGGGCCCGTCGCCAGTGGAAGCAAAGCAGAGAGAAAATTACTTTACCAGTGCTGGTCCAACTTCAGTGCCAGATCTGGTGGCCTTGGAGTGGCTGAAGACCACCACCCTCCACAGGCCTGCGCCCAAGCACAGCTATCCTTTATCTTGAGTGAGCTTCCTCAGCATGCTATATCATTGGCAGAAACTCTAGTTGGAAAGGGGGCTGACTGACTACTGTACTCTATGTGAAAACACCAACTTGGGGCTGACTTTCAGGCAAAGCTGAGATAAGGGCATATAAGGGCTTTGCTTTTATCTTGAAACATGATTGGCTCTACAGCTAAAGCGAAAGGTAGAGAAGAGTCTGGAGCTTCTGTGAAACCTGGAAGCAAAAAAGGAAAAGCCAAGAGTCAGACCAAGAAAGTGGTTGAGACAGAACCAAAAGAAGAATTGGGGAACCAGACTGAGGCTAGGAGTAAAGCAATGGCCAGGACACAAACAGTGACTCACACTGAGCCTGAGACTGTGACATGGAAAGTGAAAAAAAAAAAAAAAAAAAGAAAGATAAGACTAGTATTATAGTCAAGGCTCAGACTAAGACAGAGATCCTGAAAGAGCCTGGGTTAGTGCCTCACTCCAAGTCAGACGCTTCACCTATGTCTGTGGTCATTACGGTAACCAAGCCTGAAGTCAAGGTTGATGCTGCTATTGAGGCGTCTGGCAAGTGCTCAGCCAAGGCTAGTGATAAGGGTAATATGAAGCACAAACCTGAGATAAAGAATGAGATCTGTGTCAAATCTGGGGCTGGTAGCAAAACTAGTATTGTCATCAACACCACTGATGATGATGAAGAATATGTGTGCTCCTGGTTTTGGACTGGAGAAGAGCCTAGTGTAGGGTCCTGGTTCTGGCCTAAAGATGAATACCCTCTTCAAGTTTATCAGCCCCCACCTAAAATTGAGGAAGAACCTGAACCTGCAGATACATTCGACTTTACTTTAAAAAAAAAAGCAGCAGCAGTATGGGCAAGGGGCAGGTTTATTGTCCTAGTTCCAGTTGAGGAAGGTGAACGATCTTTACCTCCAGAAGGAAACTGGACTCTGGTTGATACCTTAATTGAAACTCCTCTGGGTGTTCGACCATTGACCAAGATTCCACCTTTTGAAGTACCTTACTTCCAGACCTTAGCTGAAATAAAAGAACAAATTCGGGAAAGAGAAAAGTATGGACCCAACCCAAAGACCTGTCGCTGTAAATCGCGTACATTTAGTTTAGAGCCTGTAGAGTTTGATAAGCTTGTTGACCTACTTAGGTTAACTAGGGATCCTTTTATTCATGAGATAGCTACAATGATAACGGGCATCAGTCCTGCTTACCCATTACTGCATACTCAAGATATCGTTCATGATGTTGGTATTACTGTTATGATTGAAAATTTTGTCAATAATCCAAATGCTAAAAAGTACCCTCGAAATTTAAATGTGAGTGCCAGCTCCGATGCTTCTGATGAAGCAAAAGAGAATGAAGCACATGTAAATAAAGTTTGTAGGGACATACTCTGTTGTCCTTTGAACTGCTCTGTACAAGTTGAGGAACTAAAACTGTTAGCAAGCCTGAGTATAAAATTTGATTACCACCACGTGATTGTCAATTACGTTCGCTATTTTATCACATTGTTAAGCAAAGGAAGTGTCAAAATCAAATTTCAGATTTTAAGGGTTATTTTATATTTGTCAAAGAATCAAGCCAATACAAGAGAACTGATCAGTGCTGAAGTATTGTCGTCACTGGTTGCTCTCTTTCATAAGAAAGAGTCAAAGGCTAATATTCTACATATCATTGATACATTTGAGAATATAAATTTCCAGTTCAAAAAAAGGGCAAAGCTGTTTACCAAGGAAATGTTCACTAAATCTGAACTTATTTCCATATTCCATGAGGCAAAAGAGTTTAACCAGAAACTCAATGACTTAGCAGAGCACAGTGACCCTGATGTGAGAGATAAAGTTATCCGATTAATACTCAAACTCTGAATAGCTGTATATTCTCACAAAACCTTGAGCATTTTTGTCTTTCCAATATAAATCTAATGCATATTATAAGTCTAAATTTGATATTTATACTCTCTGTGTTGAGGGAGGCAATTTTATGGATGCTAGTCATCTTGAGAGAGTAAACACTTGTTGGTTTTTATTATGCTTATCTATAATATAAATTGGTATTTTTGGTATCTGTAATGTAACCCAGGACTGAACCTTTTCACCCTAAATAAGCTATATTTCTGTGCGTTTCACTGATATGAGTGTATTTTCGTATTCTATTTGCGTGTTTTTAATAAAGTTGCATGCTAAACATGAAAAAAAGAGAAAACACTAGTATGCTTTTACAAATCCCCAAATAGTTCAATGACGGTGTTTGGGTGAAAATGTACTTCTTCTGCACTAACCTTTAAGTCATAAAATGAATAAGAAAAAGTAAAAGAGGAAAAGAAGAACTAAAATTAAAATAGGAAAGGAAACATGTGAATCGCAGTTTTGGGCAATAATGAAACTGTTTTAAGACTAGAGTCATAAAAGCTTTGACAGCAAGATTAAATTATAAAATAGTAGTCAAACAAAATACAAACCTAGCAATATGAATAAATATAACTTTCTGGAAATGACATGGATATTACACTAATGAAATCACAAAAGCAGTGTCTACAAGCACAAGATTGGATGTTTAAACATTTTATCATTATCAGGAGGTTCAACACTGTCTGAGGAACTACATTGTGTTGGTGCTTGCTTGGGGAGGGGAGTCATATTTCTCAGTGGTGTAATGCAGATAAGCAGTTGTCTTTACTCCAGTAACTTTCTTGCTCAGGTCCATGTTCATGGAAGAAACCCTACTTAAAGGCAGTGGAGCACAACAAAGGATATAAATATGAGACAAAAATGACACTTGTTGAAAAGAAGAAGGAGTTTGAGGGGAGAGAGGTTAGTCAGAGAGGATAATTGGGGAATACAATCAAAGCACATTGCATGTGTGTGTGTATATATCTGCACAATAATAATAAATTTATAGCATTAAAATACTCAATAGCTTAAAGTAGAAGGCATCATGCACACAGTCATTGTTTCATCCTTTTCAGGATGAGGGGGTTTCTCCCTCTGCTTGGGTTGATTTTATATCAGTCTCTACAGATGGGGAAGGCTGTTAGTCTCATAAATCCAAACATGCTATCATTTGGTCCTTCCAGAAGAGAATTTCTGTGATGGAAAACTACATTTCTGTTAGAAGTTTTTGAGGTGATGTCCTGATCTAATTTGGTTTGGGCTCTGTGGTGAAACAGATCAAAATCCATGTGGATAAGAAAGAGAATATTTCAGATCACACTTCTACCTTACTCCATCACTGAGAGAACCAAGTCAGAGCTCAGGGCAGGAATCCAGAGCCAGGAACTGAAGCAGAGACCATGGAAAATGCAATAGGACAGCTGAATTTTCTTTTCTATGGCTCCCATGGAGACCATGTAGTCAGAGACTTTAATGCAGCCACAACTGGTGCAGGCAGGGGAAGCATGTGACAACTCTGTTGCTTGACTGGTTCTTTGTGGAGAAAGCACCATCTCAGCTGCCTTCTGTTTCTTTGTCTATTTCTCTTAAAGGACTTAATGTGCTTTTACCTTAGCTGTTTTTATGCTACCTCAAAAACCCAACATCCAATCTGACAGCTTTGCCCAGAAATCCTAGGGTAGCTTTGTAGTCTCAATGTAAGCTACCTGGAAACAAGGACTAGAACATTGACTCAGTAGTTAAAAGTACTTGCAGTTCTTCCAGAGTATGCAGATTCAGTTCCCAGCACTCACATGGCAACTCATACTCTTTATTCATCCCAGTTACAGAAGATCTAATTCCCTCCTCTGACCTCCATGGGTATCAAGACATGCACACAGTACATACACATACATGCAGGAAAAACAGTTACCCATGAGATATGAAATAAATAAATAAATAATCTTTGAAAATATATCTGGAAATTATATCTCCCAAACTGTTCTGTTTGTAGGATGGATACGGAAAAAGCAACAGCAGAATAGTTGAGAAACAGGAATGATATATTTGTTTTTTATATACACCTCAGTAGATCCAGGTCCAGGCACACATGATTTCAATGAGGTTCCAATTCAATTTACCTCTCTACTCTAAAGAGTTTTGCTTTATCTTGGTCCAAGTCTGAGTGTAGCATGTTGGAAAATTCCATGGATTCTTCTCAATTTTCTTTAGAAATTAGAGAGACTGAGGATAGGTGGGAAGTTTGTCATTCTAGATCCCACTTGTCTTATGAACCTCACTGTATTTTAAAAATCATCACTACAATCAGGTGCTGCCTTCACGCAACTGTCCTTCCCTGCTCTGGTCTAGCGGACCTTCAGTATCTCAGGCTCAGTACCAGATGCAAAGGCCATGATTTGTAGGGACTCCCGAGGAACCAACATCAGTTACATGGGGTGAACTCCTCATAATGTATCTCTGAATTCTTCTCTCATGATAGCCCTGCTTCTCTGAGTTTCACAAGGAAATTATGTTCTTTTCTTTTCTAGATGTCTACTCTGAGGTATATGCTATTACCAACTTAAAGAGAAACTAATAGTTTAAATTATTCTGGTGCAAGATTGCCAAATAAAGATAAATACTACATATGGCATCTGTGGGCTTTTTTTTTAGCTAAATTCTTTCAAAACATAGTATTAAAAGAAAGCACTCACGAAGACTGTTACTAAATTGCATAATATGAGGTTTTACATAGAAACACACTTCTGATGCAGACCACAAAGGAGTCATGGTTTGGACGCTCTGGCCTGGGTGTGCAGATGTTCTCATCAGGGCTCCCTGAGAGATGCTATGCTCAAGGAGCTCCAGTTTTTGTTCAGCTTGTGCTATCATTTCAAACACTGTGAGTCTGTTCCCCGAGTGCACAGAAATACTTCGCTGAATCTTCCACCTGTGAGGCTGAAATGACAAGGCTGATGGACTTAGCTGATCTCTTGAAGGTGACAGAGTAGCGGTTGCTCTTCTCAGGCTGAGTAGAAGAAGACATTTGGCGAATAATAAAAATCATCTCTCCACTAAGAAGCTGCTTGTACCAAAAAAGGTGGTATAAGTTCTGACTTGTCTCATATGAACAGTCCAGGTTTACTTTTTCTCCCTCCTGCGTGCTTACTGTTGATTGTAGCTGAGTCACTTTCTGGCCCAAACTGGATCCTGCAGAACAATTGAAAGAAAGAAAAAAGCTTATTATGTGAGAGTTTGAACAAACACTGTTGGAATTTGGTAACTTGAGTCACAAGACAACCCTAACTAAAGATATATGTTGCTTGTTTTTCTCTAGTCCCTTTTTCCCATCATGTCAATGTGAACTGCAATATTCATGGGGCAATGCTTCCTGCTTAATATACTTAAATACATGCCATACCAGAGAAGGTCAAGACCACCAACACACAGAGCAGGGTGTGGAGAGGCATGGGGCATATGTCCTTCTCTATGAGAGTGTTTCCTGGGCCTTAGATCAGTGTTAAGTGTCTCAGTGCCTAACAGTACATGTGTACTGGCTCTTTTTTCTATATTACCTCAAGCAGGAAATGGGGTTTTGTATGATCATAGGCCACAAGTTCCTTGTACAGAGAGAAAGAGTGTAGCTCACCATGAACTTTTACTTCCTTCCTGTCTTTCTTGGTAATTAAAAGAGGTAGGTAGCACTTAGAAAGAAGAGTGGGAAAACTCATCCCTGCTGAGGGTGAAGCTGCTTTGCACACATGGTTGTTATTCAGTGGAAATATTTGGGTGACCCAAAGTCAGATTCATCATGATCCATGTACAATCTAAATATACTCACATATGATTGTTATATGTTTACTTTTCTACATCTGATGTCTAAGAAAACTTAACTAAACTAAAATAAAGTCCTGATAAGTCCATGCATTTCCTGTGAAACACTGGCATCTGAAAGAATCTTCCTCCTTTACTGAGTGCTAGGGTCCCTATAAATTCAGCAATCAACAGAGCTACTTTTAAATCACATGGTGAAGGGCATCAGAATTACAGATGATCCCCATTTGCTCATGTTCTGTGAAACTGTAATAGGAATAAAATAATAGCCCTTCGAGACTGAGGAGATGCTCACGTGTCAGTTCCTGCTGTGGCTCATGAGGACCTATGTGTTGATCTCCAGCCACATAAGAATCTAGTGGACATGGGTGCAGCTGAAGTCAGAGCTCTGGGAACCAGAGATAAGGGAATTCTGTGGTTTCCCTAATCAGTCAGTCTAGTTCAATTGTTGAACTTTAGCTTCAGTGAGAACCACTATCTTATAAATAAATAAACAGATAAATAAACAAGTACATGAATGAATAAATGTGGAGAGCAATAGAGGTGACCACTGGATTACATACAGAAAGAGAGGGAGAGAAAGAGAGAGAAGGAGAGAGAGAGAAAGGGAGGGAGGAAGGGAGGGAGAGAGAGAAACAGAGAACAGAGACAGAAAGAAGTGACACTAATTTGAAAATCTACATTTTTTATTTACATATTTGTTTTTTTTTTTTCGAGAAAAGGTTTCTCTGTAGCTTTGGTGCCTGCCCTCTTGTAGACAAGCCTGGCCTCAAACTCACAGAGATCCACCTGCCTCTGCCTCCCGAATGCTGGGATTAAAGGCATGTGCCACACCGCCCATCGAAAATCTACTTTTACAAAACTCCATTAGCTTGTAAAAGTCTAACATCAAGGTTTATTCAGAAGATGTCCTGTTCTCTCCACACAAAGGACTCTACTTATTACAAGTCCTAGAAGCTTCTATACCATTGCTCTGAAGTATTCAGCCTCACTTGTTAAATTCTGTGTCTTTTTTAACGAATGAAATGGGTTCATGATAATCTTGCTAGGTCTCTCTTTGACTCAAGCCTATTACAAGCACATGATACATATGATGAAAAAACATATAGGCCTATGTTAATGCCACATACATTGTTGGTTGAATTTGGTTTTTTTTTAATTTATTAAAGATTTCTGTCTCTTCCCCCCAGCCGCCTCCCCTTTCCCTCCCCCTCCCCCAATC